CCCCAAAACCCCAAAACCCCAAAACCCCAAAACCCCGAATGGAAGAAGAAAATTGATCCAAAATTATTCTAAAGAATTTTGCAGTTTAGATGGCGAAATAATGGAAGAATTTATTATTGATAAGCAAAGAAACTCAAAGATGTTAGGACAAATTTTGATTATCATATTCTAGTGGAATGTATTAGACTACATGTGAATTCTCAGGGAGTTCGATAAGAGCTTCTTCACGTCTCCTATTTTTAGCATTAATGGCTTGAGTAGCTTTCACTTTTGATCCGTGAATGGAAAGAATGATTCCAAGACTTAGTACGACTATGCCAATAAAGGTTTGGCACCCTGGAATTTCATCCTGGCCTAGTAATATTGCTGTGATCTCGGCAAAATAAGGTTCCGTCAGGAAAAATACAGCCACAATATCGAGAGGCCAATACTTGTATGATTGGAGCAATGAATAATTTGTTAGAATACTAGTCCATGGACTTACAAATCCAATCATAAGAGCAAACGACCATGGGTCTGAAAGCCAACCAAACATTCCGTACTCTGGGTCAAAACTGAAGAAGAGAGGATTGTCTTCAACATAAGAAAAGAATATTAGTTGGATAATAAAATGGCCTAGGAACAAATAGAACATGTATACCTCCTGAGGACTATCTCGCTTCATCTTATTTCAAACAATTCCGTATAAGGCTCCTCCAAGTGCTCCAGTGAGAGCAAGGAAATTTCCGAGTGGTTTGTTCATGCCTTCATCTGTTTTATTTGCCAAAGGATCAGTTAGCATTACTATTACGCCAACTCCATAAATTATATAACCAACTATTTCATACTTGTGAACATATTGGCAAGTCAGAATTGCAATCAGCAAGATGAACACTCCGTTGCTGCAATAGAGCACATCTGCATGAGCAGTAAGAGTGAGCTTGCATCCAAGGATCAGACCAAACACCCACATGAACATGAAGAAAGACATGAACGAGAAGCTAGCCAAATTTTGAAGAGATGAATCTTTTTTCATTTTTTCCCTAAATGGAAAGGTCAGTTTAGGAAAATACACCAAAAAGTGCCTACCATGTGCTGAGTCTTCTGTTTTCAGAGGCTTCGTAACTATGAGGTACTCTTTGTCTGCTGTACTTGATATAGCTTATGGCAACCCATATAGTCATGAAAAGACAAGAGCTTTGCGACCTCCATGAAATAGACACATAAACACTTTTCGCAGGCACCATCAACACAATCGGCCCTACAGTCGCTCAACTAATCACAAGCGTCGCCAGCCAAAAAGCTCCGATCAAAAAATCCTTCTTCGACCTAAACGCCTGTTTCAAATTCCCTTCACCGTCCTTCTCATTAGTAGTAGTCTCACCTGACTGTGACCTGACCTCCACTGAGGGCCCACCAAATTCTGAAATGTCTAGGTTGGAGACCAGCAGAGGGTTACTGTACGCCGAGTCTGGAGGTCAGAAGGGAAAGCTTACCGTGTAAGTTATGTGAGGAAGAGTTCATCCAGAAAGATTGGTTTTTATTTAAATATGTTCATTTGGAGATTTAGGTTTGGGGTTTTGGGGTTTTGGGGTTTTGGGGTTTTGGGG